CAGAAGGAGATAAAGATCTTGCAGTGGAGGAGATAAGGACAGTGAATGACCTAATCTCTAATGTAAACACCAAAGTCCTGTCCCACCGCTAGGTAACACTGGCTGTCAGCTGCTCACCCCAGGATAGATTATTTTAAATGAAAAACACATCATTGACTACTATGTGAAGATTTGACAATACAAGAACATACAATAATACAATAATGCCTCACTGTGAGATATTGAAGAATGATACAGCAATATAATTGTGGGATAAGAATTCTATATGAACTAGTGTGAAGGGTGCAAGCGGGTAATGATGCTCAAATCACACGCTCCATTTTCCATTGTTAGGGCGAAGTCTGCACAATCCCATGATTACATCTGCAGATGCTTTGTTTCCTTAAAATTTTTCATGATTTGTTTGTTTGCTTGCTTATTTGTTTGTAGAGACAGGGTCTCCCTGTAGCTCCAGGCTGGCCTGGAACTCTCTATGTAGAGCAGACTGGTCTCCATCTGCCTTTGCCTCTCAAGTACTGGGAGTAAAGGTGTCCACCACCATGCCTAGCCTCCTGTGGTCTTATGAATCATGGAAATTCAGGAAGCCGTCAATGTTTCCATCACCGTGAGTCAGTGTGATCCTCCCCAAGGTGTTGTGTTTAAAGTGGGGGATATCTCTTATTACCATAGAATGTAAGCTTCATAGAAAAGATTAATTTAAATTTCTAGATATTCAAGCCATAAAATAGAATCAATACTGTGAACCTTTATAGTCAAGGTTTGTAAGATTTTAGAGCCAGTAAAATCTTTAAAAAGTCTACCTTGGGGCTGGAGAGATGGCTCAGTGGTTAAGAGCAGTGGTTGTCCTTGCAGAGGATCCAGGGTTGAGTCCCATCACTCACATGACAGCTAGCAACTATCTATAACTCCAGCTCCAGGGGATCTGACACCCTTTTCTCACCTCCACAGGTACTGTACATCATGGGCACATCTACCTACGTGTAGGCAATATACTCATATACATAAAAATAATATGTATTATTTTGTGGGCTGGAGAGATGGCTCAGCAGTTAACACTGGTTGTTCTTGCAGCAGACCCGGATTTGAATCCCAGCACTCACATGGCAGCTAACAACTGTCTGTAACTCCAGTCCCAGGGGATCCTACAGGCTCTTCTGACCTCCTCGGGCATTGCTGGACATGACACAGGTGCACTTACCTACGTGCAGGCGATACATGCATACACATAAAATTTTTAAAAAGAGAAAAAAAAATTTTAAGTCGACCCCAATACAAGTTGAGTGACCTTGGCAGACACCTAACTAAATTTCATAGAATATTCATACCTCTGAGGTAGAATCTGTTAGTGTTGAATAACATAATTCTGCCACTATGTGCTTAGCAGATAATAAACTCTTGATACTAAATACTAAGAGGCTGTTGAGGTCAGTATGCTTTTTCTTTTCTCATTCTTTCTGTATTTTCCATATACTCACATGCTTTTCTCTCCATCTGAAAGAAGGTATTTATTCTAGCTTGATTCATTCTATCCTGCTTATCCCAAGTCTAGGTTAGTCCTGGGATGAAAGGCATGAGCCACCATGCCTGGCTATACCTTAAAATTACATTAAAATATTTTATTGATTATTTTATGTGTGTTAGTGCACCTGGGTCATGCAGTGCCCACAGAGGTCAGAAGAGAGGATGAGAGTCCTCTGGAACTGGAGTTAACAGACAGTTGTTAGCCACCATTGGATGCTGGGACTCAAACCCGGGTCCTCTGCAAGAGCAGCCAGTGCTCTTAATCACTGAGCCATCTCTCCAGCCCCTTAAAATTAATTTTTAAAAAATTAACATTTTACCCAAAAAAACGTCATTTGGAATAACCTTTGTTTTTCTTTGTATGCTGAGAAAATGGAATAACCTTTGTTTTTCTTTGTATGCTGAGAAAATAGACAAAGTCAACCATAAATCTATTTAATTAGCAAAAATAAAAACTATCTAAAATCTTTAAAAATGACCAAGGGACAATGATATGATGTATTTTCTGACTGGTGTTCCCTTATCTCATTTTCTCTAAACTATTCATTACCTTGTCTTTTAAATAAAGCAAAATTTGGCTGTGCTTAGCATCCAGTAAATAGCTTTTGTTGATTAGGAGGAAAGGAAACAAATATTTTAATTGTGGCCCAAGGCAACACCTCCTCCTTGCCAGCTGAACAGACATTAATTAGATAATTTAGGCTAGAAAACATTTTGCCACCTACTCTCTTATTTAAATGCAAACTACTTGAACTAATTCCTTAGAATAGGAAGAGGGTTAAATTGATGAAGTTTTTATGGAAGCTAAAAAATTTTATGGCATTTTTTTAAATCTATAGTCAAGGTTTTAAAAATTTTTTATTTTATTTGTATATGTTTGTACATGCATGTGTGTTACAGAAGTGGTTTAACTGTTAAAGGAACTTGTCTGAGTTTCATCTCTGTTGCTGTGGTAAAGCACTCTGACCAAAAACAGCTTAGGAGGGAAATGGGTTTATTTCCATTTACAGGTCCATCACTGAGCCTGGAAGTCAGGGCAGGAACTTGAAGCAGAAATCATGGAGGAGTGCTGCTTGTGGCTTACACGTAGCCTCTTGCCTAGCTAGCCTTCTTAGACAGCCCAGGACCACTTGCCCAGGGAATGGCAATCAAGACAGTCCCCACAGACAGGCCCAGAGACAAACCTGATCTGGGAAACCCCTCAACTGAGAGTCCTTTTTCAGGTGACTCTAGGCTGTGTCAAGGTGACAGTTAAAACTAACTAGAGACTGGGCATGGTGGTGGTCAGCAGAGGGAGTTCCAGGCCAGCCAGAATTACAAGGTGAGACCCTTTATCAAGGGACCTGGACAGAACCCTAGAGATGAAATTTATAAATGAGGGAATCAAGATCCTGATCACTGAAAGGGCTCTACCCTGTGGGTGCTAAACTGCAGGAGAAATTCCCTTCCAGTTCTTTTCCTTTACTTCTTTATACGTATTAGCACTTTCCAGGAATTTACGTATCTGTACGATTAGAAAGACTATTTGGAAATGGGAGAGGAAGTTGAAAGGAAGAGGTTCAGGCAAAAATAGCACCATCATTTGTTAATAGTAAGGTATAAATTTGCATTTAAAGTTCCTTCCGACCATCACACAGAGATGAGTAGTTCCAGAACACACAGGGAACTTAGGTACATTAAACCAAACCCTCTCTCTTTCACCCTGTCTTGAATTTCTGAAGTAAGTCTCCTTCTCCCAGATACAATAGTGTGTAGGTTTTGGAGACTTGTTATCAGAAGAGCAATATGAGTTTGCCTGACACTGTTGCTTGAATTCCCACCCGGCACACCCAGCACACTCCATTCTCAAGAAGCTCAAGGCCTTGGGGGAGGCCCGGGTTGAACTTGGGGTTGTGTTATTTCCCCAACCCACATACCAAATGATCTTTAATTCATCTTATTCGTCTTCACAATTTCTTTCCTTTCTAAAAATTTTTATTTTATTAACGATTATCATGTGTGTATGTGCCACTGCGTGCATGTAGAGGTCAGAAAATAACTTTCAGGAGTGGGTCTGTCCTTCCACCATGGGATCTGGGAATTGAGCTCAGGTGGTCAGGCTTGCGTGGCAAATGCTTTTACCTGCTAAGCCATCTTGCTGTTATTTCGCCTCCTAGGCAGAGGACGTTCAGTTAACGTTTGTGATTTGCAGTGGTGAATGAGCAGGTTCAGAAGGGTTCACCATGTGAGCTTAGGGTCTGACTCTAACCCTGTAATCGAGAGATTATTTTCACATCAGGCAGTGTGGACTTTCCATTCAACTCTGACGGCCATGCTCCAGGCTTAAATCTCCGTATTTGAAATGAAAAGTAAACTCTTTATGAAGTCTTCTTCCCTGGGTACTGATGTGCAGTGACTTGTGTTATTAAATGTCAGGATGAAATAGAACCAGCTTTCTTAAAAAGAGAAGTATAATTCTAACAGCTTGGGCGTCTTTAGGAACAGGTATATGAATCAGTTCCTTTCAAGGTTCATATATCATTATGCCTCATGCAAAGTCATGGCCCAAACCACATATCTCAAAGAGATAGTACTTTGCTTGGGAAGTCAGCTCCAGAGAAAACAGTAAGGTTATTATCTGTGTGTGTGTGTGTGTGTGTGTGTGTGTGTGTACAACTTTTGGGAGTTGATTTTCTACATTTGTGTGGGTTTTAGGGAACCAACTCATCAGGCTTGTGCCACAAGCACTTTTACCCACTCAGCCATCTCATCAGGCCATAGAAATTATTTTTAAATCTGTATATTTGGATGTGAGAAATACCTAGATTTTCTTTAGGAAATACTGAGAATTGCTTATTTTACATGTAACATACATTTTACACATATTTTTCTTTCTTCATTTTATTTTTATTCTCTCTTTTCATGTGTTATTAAAGCAAAGAAGCATATTTTTCTCTGAAAAAGCAATCCTAAGTCAATCTCCTTTAAATCTCATTTATTCAAATTCATAAGATGGAATGATAGAGATGTTGGCGTTTTATTCAATATTGTGTTGCTTTTTCTTCTTTACAATTGAGTGTGTCACTTCATTTTGGTTAACAAGGTAGGAATCCTTTAATGTTACACAGAGGACTCGAGAGACGGTTCAGTGGTTAAGAGTAGGTACTACTCTTTGAGAAGACCCAGGTTTGGCTCCCAGCACCCACATTGGGCAGCTCACAACTGCTTGTAACTTCAACTCCGAGGGGATCCAACACCTCTGACCTCCTTGGATACCTACACTCAAGTACACACACACACACACACACACACCCTAAAAATAAAATAAATCTTAACTTTAAAAAAATGTTATGCAAGAAAATCACCAGAATGGTTGTGTGAGATAACCAGGGTAGTTGTTTGTTTTTATATGCTATGTCTAAGCCTGAATTTGAAGGGTGTGATAGGGTTTTCCACAACCAAAATGTGTGTGACCTTTTTCTTCTTCCCTTCTTTCTTAGCCCCTCTGCTTTTGCCCTTCTGGAAGTTAATATGTCACTGAAAAGCAAGCCCAGGGTAAACACTTCTGCACTGCAGAAAATCGCCGACGACATGAGCAATTTGATAGAAAATCTTGACACACGGGAACTCCACTTCGAGGGAGAGGAAGTGGAATATGATGTGTCTCCCGGTGACCCCAAGACTCAGGAAGGTAAAGACTGATGATGGGGTGTGGAGAGACTTCCCCAGGATTGGTTGGCAGAGCACAGTGTAAAATAACTGGCAATTGATCTGTCTTCCTTGTAGGTGTGATACTGAGAGGGATGCGGGCCCCTAACTGACTTAACCTTTCCTGACAACTGTGTTAGAATGTGCATTCCCCCCCCAACCCCCTTAGGACACTGGTTACTGTATTTTTATATATTTTACTTATTTTGTGTGTATTGCCTGCATGTATGTAAGTGCACATGTGTCGTGCAGTGCCTGAGAAGATCAGAAGAGGGCATTGGATCCCCTGGAACTGGAGTTATGGGTGGTTGTTGACTGCTATGTGGGTGCTGGGATCTGAACCTGGATCCTCTGCAAGAGCAGACACTGCTCTCAATTGCTGAACCATCTCTCCAGCCCCCAGCACTGGTCACTCCTAAGTGGCCAGATCCCACAGCCTGAAGAAATCAGGCCATGTCCCCTTATAGCTCTCTCTCCCTAGGACAGAGAGTTAAGCCATGTTGAGTTGTGGCTTCAGAGCCCCTAATTTATGGTCCAGCTCAGTACCTAGCTCCTCCATGGTCCTTGTCATACAGATTATCCCAGACTAAGTCACATGATATAAAACTTCCACCACCCCTGAAAGTCAGGTACTTTTCTTGTTTGGGGGATTTCTCTGAAGACTCTCCTCCAAGTGTCCCTCATCTAGCCCATGATGGCTGTCTCTTTTACTCTTCCTTTAAGCTATCTTTCTTAATGAAGCTCCTCTCTAGGTGTTTATCAAGAAGCCTGTCTTTTCCTTTAAGGTGCAGTCGTTGTCTCTGATAGGATGTGCTGTTCCTTTTGATGCTCTTCTACTTCAAGGCCAAACCACAGTTCCTGTGGTCCTGAGGTCCAGCTTAATAAAGCTCATTCCTGAGTGGTTAATCTTGTCACCTCCTTTCCCCAAGCAACCTACCTATTGCCTTTTTTATCTAACACATTTATTATTTATTTGTGTGTGTGTGTGTGTGTGTGTGTGTAAGCCCTATAGCTTGCAAATGGAGGTCAGAAGACAACTTTTTGGAGTCAGTTCTTCCCTTCCACCCTGCAGGTCCCTGGCATGAATCACCATTATCCATTACCTGCTGAGTCAGCTCCCCAGCCCTGTTTTAACAATTATGATTCTTAAAAGGTGGCATAGTGCTATTGCCTACTGGAATAACTCTTTCGTTATTTACTTTTCAGTGGGTATCCCGTTCTCCGCTGTTTACAATACTCAAGGATTTAAGGAGCCCAACATCCAGACATACCTCTCTGGCTGTCCCGTAAAAGCCGAAGTTCTAGAAGTGGAACGCTTCACATCCACAACAAGGGTCAGAGCACTTGTGGACTCAGCTGCCTGGGGTTTGGACACATCGGATCGATTAGCCTGCTGACCCCTGTCCTCTCCACTGTGACAGTGTCTACTGGGCTTTCGTCTTAGTCATTTCCAAGTTCTCCTTGTGCCTCAGGATTTTGCTTTCTTCTCATTGACTTTATTTTCATGGCTCTCTTTCCCCTTTCTGTTCCTTCTGTTGTTGTTTTCAAACCAGTCTCATGTAGCCCAGGCTGGCCTCGAACTCATTATGTAGCCAAGTCTAGTCTTGAGCCCTTGATCCTCTTGCCTCTGTCTCTTGAATACTGAGATTACGGGCATGGGGCACCATGTCTTTAAAAAACAAAGCATCCCAGGACTGTGAGATGGTTTAGTGGGTAAAGGTACTTACTGCCAACCCTGAGTTTAACTTTGGAACCTGTGTGGTAGAAGGAGAGAATTGACTCCTGGAAGCTATTGTCTAACCTTCACATGTGCCCTGTGGCACCTGCACATGCCCACACACATATGCAAAAATAAATAAATGTAAAAATCAGTGGCACTCAAGGTAATTGACAATAAATTGCAAGACACCCCTCTTGACTTCATCCTTCAGTTTCTCTCTGGACCCCATCTTTCGGTCCCCTGGACTCCATCCTTCAGTCCCTTGACTGCCATCTCCAGTACCCTGACCCCATCCTCCAGTCTCTGGTCCTCATCCTCCAGTCTCTGGATCCCATCCTCCAGTCTCTGGACCCCATCCTCCAGTCTCTGGACTCTATCCTCCAGTCTCTGGACCCCATCCTCCAGTCTCTGGATCCTATCATCCTTCAGTCCCTGGATCCTATCATCCTTTAGTCTCTGGTCCCCATCCTCCAGTCTCTGGGTCCCATCTTCCAGTCTCTGGACCCCATCATCCTTCAGGCCCTGGACCCTACCCCAGGTCCCAGGCACCAGTTTTCTCTCATTACTGAAAAGGCTTTAGAGTGAACCTTCTTTACAGGGCAAAGCTGAGTCCTTGGAAACAGATTGCATCAGAAGACATTGGTGGATAGCCGTTTGCTTGTCACTGATAAGAGTCCATAGTTGTCAGGTCTTGCAGGTGGGGAGTGGTGACCTTTGTCTCTCAGGTTAAATACTAGTTGTGAGACAGTAAGCCACCCCCGGGCTTCTGCCTCTGAGAACTCTGGGAAGAGTAACCTTTGGTCAGGGTCAGTTGCCTTCCTTTCCTCCCTGTCTGCCTGTCCCTGTCTCCATGATGCTGTGGTTTCCTGCTGGTTTTGTGGCATGATCCGAGTTTTCTTATGCTGACTCGAAGTTTACACCACCTTGATGTCCAGCCTCTGCTTTAGGTGCCCTCCCTCCCCCCTTCCTTCTCTTTTTTTAGACAGGGTCTCACCAACTAACTCTGGCTGGCCTGGAACTTGCTATGTAAACTAGGCTGGCTTGGAACTCACAGAGATTCACCTGCCTCTGCCTGCTGGTATTAAAGGCATGAGCCACTACACCCAACTTTTATTTCTTTTCTTCTTTCCTTTCCTTTCCTTCCCTTTCCTTTTCTCCCCGCTTGCTTCTCTGAAACAATCTCATGTAATCCCAACTGGACTCAGATCTTGGACACACTATTGCTTTGTAGCTGAGGATGATTTTGATTCTGATCCTTCCTGATGCCATCTCCCAAGTGCCGGGATTACAGCTGTTTGCCGCTGTACTGGTTTATTTGATGCAGGGCTTCCTGCACACTAGGCAGTGCTCTACCAACAGCTGCAGCCCCAGCCCTGCTTTAGGCTTTTCCTCTATGTTCAGTTCACATCTCCCCAGTGAACCACTGGACATCTCTAAGATGCCCTTCGCCTCTTGTTTTGCTCACCGGCTTTAGGTGGAGGTGCATATTGTATAGGGTTTAAATGCATGGACACTGGAGCCAGACTGCAGGGTTTAGTCAATGTCTTTGCTTTGTATTCTTGAAGAACTTACTTGACCTCTAAGTGTCTGTGCATGTGAACAATGGATCTAACAGTGCTTACCTAGCACATTTGCTGTAAGGATTCAACACTAGTACTAACAAACTAAGATTATGTTTATACATCTTGTACTCGGTACTGTGGCCCCTTGACTACCCAGTGTTCGGGAGCACTGGCAATGCCTCAGTGCGGGGGTTTGTGTGGACTAGGCTGGAATGGTTTTTGCAGAAGGAGAAGGGGATTGTTGTACAATTTGTTTAGGACAAAAAAGGGGGGGGCCTATGATTGGTGACCATTGTTTCTGCTGCCTTTCACCTGCCCCAGTGTCCTCCACTGAGTATGTGACTCAAGCCCCCAATGGACCTTCAGTCATTATCTCCTTCACTTGGCTTCCTGTGTGTGTGTGTGTGTGTGTGTGTGTGTGTGTGTGTGTGTGTGTGTACGTCTGTGGTATGCGTATGGTGAGTGTGCACGTGTTTGTATACTGTGTATTCATGTGGTGTGTGTATGCAAGTGTGTGGTGTGCGTATATGCATGTAATTGTGTGTGCATGTGTGGTGTGTGGGTGGGTGTTTACATGTATGTGATGTGCATGTATGTTCGTGCATGTGTCTTTGTGTGTGTATGTGTGTATGTGGTATGTGTGCATGTGTATACATGTGTTTGTGGGTGGTGTGTGCATGTTTGGTGTGTGTGGTATGTTAAGTACTGACCCAGAATAGACGGAATAAAGGATACTTTGTTGATTTGGTGTTACTTATTAATTAGCTGTTATTTATTAATTAGCTGTTATTGATTGAGAGCTTTCAGAGTTTTTCTTATCTAAGATACTAACCCTTTTCTTTTTTAAAAATCTATCACCGTAGGTGCCAAGTATGAATCTGTATACTATTGAGCTAACACATGGGGAATTCAAATGGCAAGTCAAGAGGAAATACAAGCACTTTCAAGAATTTCACAGAGAGCTGCTCAAGTACAAAGCCTTTATCCGAATCCCCATTCCCACCAAAAGGTAACTGCTGCAGAACTGGCATTACGTCATGCAGGGTATGAGTTGTGTGGAGAGTGTATTTGAATCATTTTCTAGGCCACCTATTCCACTGTTGCAGATGTTTTCAATTAAATAACTTTTAAAAATAAGCCACCTCGGCTGGGTGCAATAGAGCAAGCCTTTAACATCAGAACTTAAGAGGTAGAAGCAAGAAGATCAGGAGTTAAAGGCCAGTCTCAGTTACAAGGTGAACTGGAGGACAGCCTGGGCTACATGAGACCCTGTCTCAAACAACACGAAAAAAAAATAAGCCATCACAGGAACGCTGTAATGAGACTAGTGGTGGAAGAGGAGACTAATGAAGGTCTGCATTGTGTGTTTGTCTGTTTTAGACACACATTTAGAAGACAGAATGTCAAAGAAGAGCCGCGAGAGATGCCCAGTCTGCCCCGCTCATCAGAAAACATGAATCGCGAAGAACAGTGCTTTGGAAGAAGGGTAAGTCTTTTTGCTCTTCTAGTTTTCAATTTCTTTACTATTTATTATTATTACTTTATGTGTGTTGGGGGTGTGCGTGTGTCAGCGTGCATGTGGAGTTCAGAAGACAACTTTGGGGAGTTAGTTCTCTCCTTCTACCTTTATAATGTGCGTTCTGGGGGTCAATCTCAGGTCTCCAGGCTTGTGCAGCAAGTGTTCTACCCACTGAGCCATCTCACGGGCCCTCTTCTGATGCTTTGAATGTCATTTCTCAGAACTATGGACATGTATCGTAAGGAGCAGGAGGAGGGCCTGGCTGCCACTTCTTTCCCCCTCTGATGAACCACCTCTGGCTTGGCTTCTCTGGAACTGCTTAAGCGTCACCTATATCCCCAAGCCTTGGAGAGGTGTGCTGTCAGGAAGGAGGCAGAGCCTTTGTCAGTGGTTAGGTGGTGAGGCTGCTGTCTTCCCTGCTGGCACCTCCCTGGGCTTGACGGGAGTTGAAGATAGCTTTCTAGTATGTTTTGACATTCACTCTTAAAAAGCACAGATTTGGATGCGTTTGCTTTGAATTGTAGTAGCTCATTTCTAATACACTTAAAGTCATATTCCTACTCCATTGATGGGGCAGTTAGGGTCTGAGGCGTTTGTGCCCACTTTGTTTTAATGGCTGTTGCCGTCAAAGCCAGAAAATGGATTTTTGGAGGGGTCTTTTTGAGACAGCAGCCCCAGCTGGCCTGGAACCGGCTATGTAGAGCAGGCTGATGTTGAACTCACAGAGATCCTCTTGCCTCTGCTTCCCGAGTGCTGGGATTAAAAGCGTGTACCACCACACCTGGCTCAGAAAATGGATTTAATTTAATTTAATTTAATT